CTTTCCTTGTCAGCTGAAGAATCGATAACCCAAAGGCTCAAAAATTACGAAAGTTAGTAGGGGATAGGACCTTAAGAAACAATAGCATGACGCAGGTTTTTTACTTTGAGCCTTCTATTGATTCCAGAGCTTCTATTTACGTCTTTGTTTGGAGGCCTTATACCAAAAAATTATCTGTGAAACACTCGTTTTACTTCTCTTGGTTGGGTAGGGCATCACAAGAAAGTTAAAATACGTCTGACAGTTAATATATTTGCTTAATATATCTTCAGGTTTTCCGTTTTTAAGAGAGACTTTCAGAATTCCATCAGGTTGTTCCTTTAGCGTTTTTCAATACCCCATCCGACTCTGCTTAGTAGTGGATTTTGATTTACTATTTAACACCTGTTCAGCTTCTTTTATTCAAAGAATGCCTTAAAAGCCTTTAGCAGATTTGAGATTCAGTCACAAATATCGTAAATTCTACTTGTTACCATTTTTCGGAAAATTGCTTCCATGCGTTACCATCTGTATAATCATCCCGTTGTACCAGCTAACTTCTCTCGATGGTAATTTGCGGTATTACTTCTGGAGCCCTTCGACGGTCGATTTTTGCCAACAGTACCGCTCCATCATTTTCCGTAAGTTGACGATACTTGCATCAGCAAATGTGCTTGAATTAACAAAAGACTTACCATTCTTCCTCGAACGTTACCTTCTCGACTCACTGTACATATTTTTAAAGCAGAAATCGATATCTTCGACGCAACAGACTTAAATCATCCCTTTTTTAAATAGCTTAGACTGAAAAATCTTGAGGGTTTGCAACAATCAGATTGTTGTGAATCATCTTTATTCACACCCCTTAATCCGGTCGCTCCACCTCCGACACAGGGTTTCCATTTTCGTAGCATTTGTGACAATCAGCGAGCGAACAATGATGACAGACGTGTGCAAACACAAATGCCATTTCGATCAAGAAATAGCGATTAATCAAATAATTAAATGGGTTTTTGATTTAGAATTAATGAACTAGAATATGATCTTGTTGTAAGCACTAGCATGTGGTCTTGAACCACACCGGGGCCACGGAATTAACCCTGACCCGATTACGTTTCCCCAATACCCGCAATGAAGAAAAAAACCAGGGAGGACGTGGACACAACCGTTCGCTTCAGAGCTCAACCACGTTGGTGTCGTTGTGTCGTGTGTGGGGTTTGCGCTTGTGTATTTATACCTCAGATGTGTGAGTCCTACATGCGCTAAGATCCAGACCTGGGTGTGAAGATAATCGGGGATAAATATTCGTGTGAATGAAGGGGGATTTGAGGATCCGCGCGGCTGGCGACATGCTACGAAAATGGAAACCCTGTGTCGGAGGTGGAGCGACCGAATTAAGGGGTTGAACAAACATGATTCACAAAAGTAAACTTGTCTCTGCATCGAAGACCACTGTTCTCTTATCTGGTTAACGGCCCGTAACTGCCCGAGGAGAGGGGAAAGGAGGCAACAGAGAACACGACCGCTTATTAGTGTCAAGCCAGCCAAGTGGCTTTGTGGGCACATGAGTACGCGTGCGTCACAGACGAATGCTGACAAAGGCCAATAACAAAAGGGGATGAGTCATCGCTACACACGGGCCCTCATGCACGCCCACTCGCGCGGGGCGGCTGTCAGTCCAATACAGCCTTTCTCTCGTCAAGCTATAAACTCGTGATACAAATTTAGATCCCCACCAACTTTTTTTCATTTCAACACTTTGTTATTTCGCCAGTGCATGCTTGACTTTGCCTACTGACATTTGCATTGCCATTTGTTTGCAAAGCGTTTCTTACCATGGCTCTTCGAATTCTATGCATTTTTCAACTTTTAACAGACGCAACTTTACCTGTTTCTACTTCAAACGTTTTTAATTCAACAACTAAGTTCGATAGTAAAGTAGAAGCGGCAAATCAAGCCATGTCGCCTTTCACATTCGTGCATAACTTCGTAAAAAATAATATTTTACTAATTTGATCTTTCGTGGCTTAGACAGGCCGAGTCCGTTAAAAATGAAGGGTGCTTACCTTACAAAAAATCAATTTCTTGTTAATGCCGTCTTTTAGTGCCTAGTTAAAAATAATCAATCGGCACGAAATTAATTACAATTATTCTAGCAAAGTGTCCAATGAAATGAATTTTTTTAAGTCATCACTAATATTGCCCTGTAATAAAATAAAAAATACTCTGTTTGCAGAATATTCATTTGCATAAACACGTCAATCAATCAGTTACATTGAATATCTGAAGTCTTAGTGTAATGTATCTTGAGGTTTGTGTGGCGTCACTTACACTTTTCACGTTTTAGCATCTGTTCTCACTGAAGGACAATAATCGCAGTTTGTGAATTTCTGAACGTTTGTTCCTTTTATTTAAATTTGGGTTGCTTGAAAGAATTTGCATGTTCTTTATTCAAAGCGCCTCATTCTGTCATTTGTTTAAATAAGGAAAAGGGATAGGTTTGTGTTTGATGCTGTTAGCCAATATTACTTCTATTCCCTGTGTATAATGGATAGGTAAGCCACTGAATTTATGCTCTTAGTGGACTTGCTTGATGATGTTTTCCAAAAAAAAAAAATGTAAAAATGCAAGTCTAATTATGAAAAGTGTATACAAAAATCCATTGTTAGAGTTCTCAAGAACCTATAGCATTAATCGAATCTCAAGATGAAATTCCAGGGACAAATGTAAAATTTAATATGAAAAAATACGCATCTCTAATTCTCAATACTTAAACAAATTTTAGACAATGACCCATGTTAGAACACTAAACAAATGTTCGATTTTGGATTATCTTGATACAATGATTTTTGAGCCGCCTTCATAGTGATACGCAAAAAAGACATATTGGCTTTCTGCGGCAGATAGCATGTCTCAACGCCAAGGTCAGACTAACGTAGATGGAACGAGGAAATGTGTGATAAAATAAAACAACTATACACAGGGATTTTTACGTTTTATTGGCAAAGGTAACAGCGTCATTACTCAATGAACCATTTCGAAGCTTCGCAAACTGTTTCCTGCTTCATGCCCTGTCGATTTATTCCTCAAGATTAACGCAACTTGATTCAGCCCAAAGCTGTCAGAATATAAGCCTAGGATAAGCAGATTTGAGGTGATTTATCATGTAGAATGATGTAACACTCTCAAAGAAGGCCCATAAGATAAATGGCACTTTGTCATCGCTACTTATTTCTACTTTGAACAAAGCCAATGCGGGTTGCGCAATCATATGAAGCACAATGGGTAAATCGCACTTCTGCAGACTTCAGTTATCAGGCAATGCAAATTAGCTTAAAAGAACTTATGCTTTAAAAGACCTTATGCTACTCGTAAATGACCCCAGACCGTCATTTAAATATAGGATGAATGATGTCACGCAATACTTTCAAATAACGGCCAATGTGTTAAACATTTGTGCCTGTATTTTAAAACAAAATGTTGTTACATATGACCAACTTGTTTGCTTTAAAAAATGCGTAAGCAATGAATAAGTAATTATAAAGTGCTTTAAATCCCATAGAATAAGTCACAATAACATGAAATAATTAGTTTATGTGCCTACGTGACCCCAAATGAACGTGGTGCAATGTAAAGCAAACCAAAATGTTAAATTGCCTGTCAAAAGCCTTTAAAGCTTTTCGATAAATCAAGTGTATCTTCATGTTGCGCAATAATTACATCATAAGAGCCGACGTGCCTAATTTTTTCTAATGCTCAGAGTTTTCTAGAGTATTAACTTTATCACTATTGTAAGTGGTGTGCTTGTACCAATCTTTACAAATGTTTAATTTAAATGTACAAAAACCATATCTTTATTCTTCCAGCCCAAACCAAGTGGTGTCCAAACTGTGTCAATTAAATATGTGCGTGCTGACATCTCTCATTTTTAGGAGAAATAGCGATAACAACTTAAAAAACTGGCACTAGAACCTCTACACCAAGTCGGTCACGATAAAGAAAGTAAATGCTCTGTCTTAAAAGTGATACTTAAAAAGAATTGTTATAATCAAAGGGAATGAAGTCGTCCGCCTGATTTCTGATTAATAAAAAGCGTTTTATAGTGCCATAGACCGCATTATGCACGCGTTAATATATTTCAAACACTAAAATTGCCGTGGTGTGTCAGTTGACTCAAAAGATTAGCATTTCACCTGCGTTTATTATAGACTGTGGGTTCAAATTCTCTAACTCCCGAAAACTAAAGCGTCTCTAGTTTAAAAATCTAACCTCAAAAACAGCTCTGTTGTGTGTCAAAAACAACGTTAATTTAAGAACAGTTAACCAATATCAGGTAAATAGTTGTTCTTACAAGAGTTCAAATAAAGCTTCATTGGATGGCGATGTGATTACATGAAACTGTGACTGGAGCGTTGCGCTGGCTGTCCAGGAAACATGACATTCAATTTACCAACTAGGCTGGATTGCGTCAAATTTCCGGATTGGCGCTTACACAAAGGAAATTAAAAGCCTTTATTAGGCTGCCTTGGAATCCATGTTATTTTACCAAATGAATTTTCGCATTCTATTGTTCTCTGCAAGGTTACCTGCGTCGTGGAATTAAGCCATGAGCAGACCTATTGGAAGTGAGAGAATGAAGAAGACTACAGCAGCAAAAGCTGACATAACTATTAAAATACGATGGCGTTTGTTGAATTCCCTCAAGATCCAGATTAGATCCCATGCCCACATGGGGTGACAGCGGCATGAACATTTCAAAACTAGCAACTGTCTCCCATTAATCTGCCCTTCTAAACCTCGTCTCTTAGGCTTATTGGCTGAGCCGCTGTGGTAAAAGGCACAGTAAATGAACATGTAGAGCAAAGGAGTCTTGCTTTCGTGATGACATTGCTAATTTATATCTGTTCAACTCGTTGGAGGTCATGGTAACGGTGTAGTCCCACAATAAAGTTCCTAACCGGATTCCACTACGCTCATAATTTGTTCTGTAGAACAGATCACAAGAGGACCTAGTGGTTGAAAATTGACTCAGCAAATCACCAATTTTTATCTCTACTCCCTTAAATGCCGCCGTCGTTATGAACATGCACTGATTGCAATAAATATTGGACGTAGTCAAGCGTTATGAGTCGTATCTTCTGTGCAAAGGCCATTCAAGGTAGCTCTTTAAGTAGAAAGTAGTTGCGAAAAGTCAGTTGTCTTGTTCCTTAATCTTCTAAACAATTTAAATTCCTGCCTTACCTTAACAGTTAATTAATTAACGTCCACAAAAATACTTTGACGAGACAAATAATTCAGCAGGAAAATTTGTCAAACTTGTGGCTCACTAGCAATGCCCAATTTCTCACACATTTTTACGGTCAAATAGATAGCACAAATATGAAAAAATTGTCAAATCAGACTCTACATAATCATTTTTATGGTATCAAAATGTATTTAAACATTTACCTCGAGTGTCCTTGTATGAGTTCAATTATACACATCCCTAAACAGCATGTTTAAGATGGATACCAGACTAATATCAAAAACCCATTAAAATAAAATCGCATTTTGTTATATTTTAGAAATACTTGATGACTGGTGATTTATAGCTACTCCCTCATAGATTAGTCATCTGTTCGTGACTCCTTCGCTTCTTGCGTTGTTAACAAATGAAATAACCTGCATTTTATCAACCTGAGCACATAATTGTGGTCAATTACTGGCATCTTAAATGTGCAGAAATTTAAGGGAGAAGGTTGCACTTAAACAGGGCCACCATCATGCAAAAATACAACGCTGCTTTAACAGATGACTATTATCACTTGGTTGACTGACTACAAGCAAACAAGAGCCCCTAAACTCTTCACTAGAAACATAATTATAATTTAATCATGTGACACAGTCAGTCTTTGAATGAGCACGTTTTGTGTTCCAACACTTTCACCAGAAAATTCCACAGCTACCTAAGAACACGATTTCAAAATGACCTTAAATTAGTTATGGGATATATTTTACAGTTCTGGATTGACGTCTTCGCAGATTTGAGATTTCGGGTTGCAAAAACCAAAGTAGCCTACGGAGAACAGAAAAATACTTTTAGTGGAAATGAAAGCACAAGTGCACGTAAGTGCAGGACAGGGTGGCAGCAGTGTTGTTCTTGAGTGAGGTGTGTGTACGGAAACAAATAGCAGAGGTTGGTCGGAAAATGCGGGCAGCACAGAGCTTGCTTTGCTCATTGAAGAAATTTCGCGGTAAGTAAAGAAAGTATACAGCTAGTCAGCATCACAGGCTTTTAATGACGTGAAGAACCTACGGGTAGCAAGTCCTCCATGTCAACGCAAATGCGATTTCAAGCTTCGACCATCGATTAATCATACATCAAGGAAACATTATTTCCCCCAGATGGATTGTTTTGAAGCACCTCAAATGTATCGTTACGAACGAATAAGCATGTATATGATGAGAAATAGTCGAACCAGCATTATTTGGGACTGGTTTGGTTGATCGTTGGGGTAATTTCTTAATTTCGCACATATCTTGTGCTGTAATCCAGTGAATAACGTAGATAGTCTCATGTGGTAATTGTGAATTTAGCATTGTATTACAGCGTCAAAGGGAAGGTTAAAAGTGCTTCGAAGGTTGCGCATAATTTGCCTGAAAGAACTCTCACATTGAGCAAATGAAGAAAGATCCGTGACGTCATCAGGTATTGCGCAACTCAACTCCGAGGCTGCTCAATCAGGGCGATGCAATGACGTTGAGTTGGCATCAGCGTCACTAAAGCACGCCTCAGCATTAGTGATCCAACGCAATCTGAGTGCTACGGCACTTGGAACGCCAGAACCACCCGAATTTCAGCTGCCATTCCGATAGTTTAGTTTAAATTGCCGATCACAAATGCCACTGATTCGGGCAACGACTCTACCTCTCTTGACCGCAGATGAGGCGAATCCAAGATTACTATATCAATGCTCCCCGAAATTTAGCTTATGGCGCTGCCTTTAAAACCCCAATCGATAGCAAAAAATAGTAATGACTCATATTGTCAGAAATGAAGTCTCAGTGACGCAGCTTGATTGCGTCATTACGCACTTCCCATGAGTTCATATCTACAGTTATAGCCTTTAATACGAATTGTCAGCAAAGATGGTTAAATTTAATTGTAGGAACCTCTATCACCCAGTTTTAATCGAGTAACCAACTTCAAAGACTGTCATATCCCTTTCTGCAGTAACAGTTATTTGGGTTTCAAGATTTCCACAATGACATCTATGAAAGTAGATTATCAATGTGAAAAAATGTTACCACGAAAAAGGTAATGACAAAAATGGACTGTAAAAGTGGCGCAAGAGCTACGCAGTGTTGTGCAGTGCAAAGTATGCGCCTTTGGCCTCCATCAAAGCAGCAGGCGAACCACTCTCGACAGCTCGTCCACCTTCCAACACCACGACCAAGTCACAGTTCTCCACCGTCGTCAGTCTGTGGGCCACCACCAAGGTGGTTCGGTCACCTTTCTTCATCGCCTCGTCCAAAGCAGCCTGGACAATCTGCTCGCTCTCGTTGTCCAAGGCAGCTGTGGCTTCATCCAAGAGGAGCAGTCGCGGATTCCTGACAAGCGCACGAGCGATCGCAACCCGTTGCTTCTGGCCACCGGACAGTTGCGAACCACGCGGTCCCACCGGTGTGTCGTATTGCTGCGGCAGGCCAATGATGAAGTTGTGCGCGTTCGCCTGCTTCGCCGCATCGATTATCGCCTCCATTGGCACCTCACCACTCACGTGGTTCAGGCCGTAAGCAATGTTATCTCGGATAGTCATATCCAGGAGGTTCGGCTCTTGCGACACCACACCGATCTGTCGACGAATCCAGTTTGGCGCAATCAAACTCATATCCATCCCATCCAAAATGATTCCACTGTTCGCGTGCTTTGACGGCTCATAGAAACGCTGAACTAGTTGTATAATTGTTGATTTGCCACATCCTGACTGTCCAACCAGAGCAACGCTCTTCCCCAAAGGTACGTCGTAACTAAAGCCCTGTGGATCAAGAACAATCAATAAGTCGACAACGTTATATTCTCACCGGAAACATTCACTTTGGCAGAAAGAATGCACACATTAACCCTCTGGCAAGTGCGTACATGTAGCCCTTTAGCTCCCAACTAGAGGCTACTCATGATCGCTAAAAATGATCAAAATAGCCTTCTACGTCTGTCAAGATAGATCTGCACTAGTCTATGTGACCTTATCAAAACTATCTATTCCATGAAATTGACGTCATTATGCATTTTTTCTAACACTAAGTAAGCAAGCATTATTCATTGGGTGATTGGTTTCAAGATTTCTCAGTGAGAAGTTTGGAATTGTGAAAAGGTGGCCAGTCACCTTGAGAACGGGAATTCGCCTCCGAGTGGGGTAGCGGAAGCGAACGTTCCTGAAAGATATACTTCCTTGTAGGGGGTGTAAATTGATGTCGGGAAATTCGCCCTCATCAGGCAACAGCTCCGGCTGGCGATTGAGCACTTGGAATATCGCTTCCGCCGCCTTGCTAGCCTTCTTTGCGTCTGGTGCGAATGACGCCGTGTAGCCCAGGTTCGAAGCTGCAAAGCTGACTGCTGAGTATGACCTGTTTTACACAAAAGAGGCTTAAATTTGCATTGAATTTAACTCGGACGACTAGATGTGGAGTATCCTGTCCATTGCTTCAAGTTTAACACTCATACCGCTTCTAAGATTAAAGGATTTGTGACGCCACGCGACGTGTAGGAAGGCTAATGCAATCATTGGCAACTACCTAGACCAACTCAACCAGAGTGAATATGCTCAGTTATAACCAACAATCGGTAAGTTGCACGAAGCAGAATTGGCCTAGTCAAAGAGCTTCTCTGAAACGGTCACCAAAAAACCACTCTCACTGTAATCTCATCCACATCTTGTCCAATTTACTGGTCTTTTCTCTTGTGATTTGTCTAAGAAAGGAAAACAGCAGCTGAATCGCTACTTGTCACCCCAAGCAGCGTTCCGTTAATCAAACTCCCCCGTATAAAAATTCTCATTAACTGTCATGACGGGGTGGCCTTTCTCAACAAAGAAGGACCAAGGAACCCCCATTGTCTAAATGGCTGCTCTAGCGGCAGTCTCACAGCTTTCTTTAGCTTTCATAGTCGGCAGACTGCCGGTAGGCCTACACACACGTGATCACGTATCCGACCAGAGCAACACCACGTTTTAGGATGTTCAGGAGCGTCTTCTTGTCGTAGAATCAGTGCGTCGGTCACACAGCAAACGTCAACTTCATGGAAATTGCGTTCTTTTCACTTCGCTTCCTCAGTTAATTAAGTTTTTTTGTTACAAATGAATAACAGTTACCAGCTTGCTTAACACCATTGGCAAAAAAGAACGAAAGTGGTTTGAGGTTGGCCTACCGAAATACTTCAAGGAGTGTGACCTGTCCTTGCTCCATCAGCTTGCCACCAGCGTAGAAGACGCCTGCGAATTCGAAGCTCATCAGCGAGTTGGCAATTGCACTCACCAGGCCGTACCGCGCCACACCTTTGACAATTTGTCTAAGTGAAAAGCAGCAGAAAATCAGAATTAAGTGGGGACAACACGACGACATACACGACACAACTTCCACTAAACGTGGCGACGTGTACCTGGGATTAGATGTCTACTTAAAACTGAAAAGACAAAAAAATGATCCACGTTTGCAGTGAATAACTGCCTGACACCGCACGCTACTGCAAAATCCAAAAAAATTCTGTGGTAAGCAAGTGCATATATCAACTGGAATCACAATACCAGTCACAGTTGACATAAGAATGTGACCCACTTCCTACCTGTCAGACAAGAGAGCCTGATCACTATAACGCTTGGCGAAGTAGTCTTCAATCTGGAGACTGAAGACCGTTTTCACAGCAGAGAAGGCTTCATGTGCCAGACTTGCCCCCTTAACGCTCTTACGTGACACCTCACCGGTCCAGCTCTGGGCCTGGGAAGGAAAGACCACACGCTTTTAAGGTTACTTTTCCTCTGGCAAGAAAACTCTGTTGGCACGGACTATCTGAGACAAAACATTCGCATTCCATTAAGGGACCATTTTTATCCCATTTCGATATGCCTAATTGATAGCACACAGCTTTCAGAAATCTAATGACTTTACCTGGATTTGATAATTGCGGAAAAATTAGGACAAAATTTGTATTTGCGCATTCATGGCATCCTATTGTGTTAAATTAAAGCTTAGATCAAATTATCCACTAACCTGCTCTTTAGAAATTCAAATCCGAATAAAATCTAACGCAATAGATGATTCTCACCGATACGTTTGAATAATCAGTTGCAGAGAATATATCTTCCACTTAAACGTTGATATCAATAGCAAGTCTAATTTAAAGGAATTTTTTACAGGGTATGAGGCAATGGCGAAGATAAACGCAGCCTTTTGACGAATCGGAGTGAAAAATTCACTTAGCAAGCGTGTGTTTGACAGTCGCATTTTGTGCCAACATTTGTTCCATGTAAAAACGTGTTTATTCTGCTTGCGAGTTGTAGAGGCACCTGGCCCTTTGGTTATGGAAAGGTCATGCGGGAGATTTTATTTGTTGCGGCCCCCGATGCGGTTTGAAAACCACACAGGGCCGAAAATCTAAGCCGACACGGCCCGACCGAAGTAATGAGTAGAAATGCCGATAGCGCTTAGCTCAATTTTTTTACTGATGCAGTAGCGCTGTGTGTGTACAACGTAAGAGGTCAGTTCATACAGGATCGGCTAAACACCGACCCCTGAACGGACACAGTTACGTGAAGTGCATTCACGTAAACCAATTGAATCATATTTGCTCACGCTTACTAATTGCATTCACTTACGATTGCTGTATTCGCTTGCTGCTCTCCATAAATTTTGCTAAGGTTATTTTTCATGTATATATTTGTAGACAAAAATGACAATTAAATTAAACGCAACCAAAGATGACAAAGATGATGCTAAGATGCGTATTTACAATTACAATACCTAGCCAATCATTTTTTGTGATTTTACAAATGCTACGATGACTGACAGGCGGTTTATTTTGGTGTTGCTAAGCTTAGGACACATCTTTAAAAGTGGTTAGTAACAGCAATAGAGATCTGATAAATGGACTGCAATTTAGTTGGAAGATCTGGCCACTTGGCGGCCATAATCCAACTAACCTAAATACCGGCTACTTGAAGAGGTCACAAGTCACACTTGCACACACCTATGTCAAAACTCACATGAAAATTTACTACATTTACAATTACTGTGAATAAATGTGATCTGCCATTAGCTCAGCCAGAACTGAGTATATATACTGACAAGGGCTCTCATGATTTATAATTTATCTCCCGACCCAATGACTTAGCAAACCTAATCCGCCAAAATGTTCAATCGATTTAGACATTGACGCTGGTTTAAAATTTAACACATGCGATTTCATCAAGAATAGTGATACAGCTCAAAACTTATGGAGGCCAGTGATTTGCGTAGATTAACATGGTGCTACCGCTGGGTAAAGCTGAAGCATGACAAGTGATCAGTGAAATGACACACATCACCTGAGAGAAAATTCCAAAGAGGATCGAACCGCCAGTCGTCAACATCCACTCCTGCAAAGTTAACACTTTTCAAATTTTATCATAACCGATTAGCCCTAGAACATGTTGAAATTTGTTTAATGATGAAATAAAACTTAAGCGTGCCCATTCGAGTTACACTGGAACATCAGGCTAAGTTTAACCAATGCAGCTTTTCGGGTAATTGTCTTCGTCATTAACAAAGTGTCTGCGCTTTTAAACACAATAAAATCAACCTTAAAACCCTACCAAATTCTTGCTTTTATGCATGTTAATTGTCTGATTAGCACCCTCTTTTTAATCCCTAATATCATTGCCAGATGAGTAGTTGCGCCACATATTAACGGCATCGAATCTACCAAAAATTCTCAACCAATAGAGGCCCAAGTTCGCATAATTCGCAAGGCGACGGTACAACTTTTTGTTTCTTTCGCGTTGGTTAACTAGCTTATGCGGTAGTAAACCTGACACTTCCGAAAGCTGTGCTGAATGTGTTTCTAACTATCGACGTCACTGTACAAGTAACTTTAATGCGTAAATGACCATTCGGGTACTGGTTTATTTTACCGACTTTGCGCACCTGTGAGTCTGTCAGAAAAGGTTGTTTTAATTCGCGTAATCCCAACTACAGAATTTGGCGAAATATGTGCATGACAGCGTCGCTCCATTTCGACTAGCTTATGCTTTTAACACGAATGACTCCACGACGTTTCAAGTCCACAAATGACTGATTTTAGCTAAAAGGTGGGATATCTTTGCAAGACATATGAGCACACTGGGTCAAATACTGCATAAGCGGTTCAAGAGACCTAAATATATCTAGAAAGGTAAAACCGCTAAGGCTCAACCGTGTACTTGTGTAACTGTTTTTTAATGTAGAAATAATAAAGTAGACAAGAGCGTATAATCGACTTGATCCGAAAAATGAACTATGGCAAAAATAGATCTAATAACACCTCGGAGTCTAGACAAAATTACAAATTTTTCTATCAACAACGCAATTTAGAGTATTTCGTAAAGCTGAAACTCCGTTTAATTTTGATGCACAAAAAGGTAAACAAAAGGATCAAGATTACAATGAAGTATTTCATCGATATCATTCAGGATTTCCAAACAAATTAGGTCACTTAGGGCGTTTCATTTGACAAAAAGATACTTGATGACGTAACAGTAGGTCTCATTGACAGCAATCATTCATGTCATTTTTTGCTTATTACGTGAATTGACAGGTTCTGCATATTATTTGATAATTGGTGAAATGCACTCATGGAGACGCAATCATTCACAGTACACAGTTGTAGTAAAATAAAATAGATCGCCACGAAACGAACCTCAAAAGCACCAGCAAATGCCAGAATCGGGAAGTATGCCAAAGACACGAGAGCGATTTGCCAGCTGAAGAAAAAGCCGATGAAAAGTGATGCGATACTAAGAACTAACATCTCGATAATTGAGCCTAATCGACGACCCGAGACATTTTGCAGCATTGGAACATCAGCGGCTAATCGCCCCGTCAATGCGCCTGGCTGATTTTCCGCTTCATCGTACCAGCCAACTTCCTGCAGAGGAACAGAGAGAGAGGGAAGTTGAGAAATTTCCACTACCATGGATTTAGATCGGCTGCGAATTTCCACTGCCCAGGTTGATATTGGCAATTTATGCACGTGCATTTCAGACCCATGCCGAGTTGCTCATTATGGACACGGAAATGAGCAGCTAAAACATATTTTGCTGGATATCCTACAAGAAATCTCACAAGTCAACATGACTGAAAAATCTGCGCAATAATAGAAAAAGAGAAACAATTTGTGACTGAATGTCTGGGAGATCCTACCTGATTGTTAACGTGGCATTACAATGGTAGTTGGTGACCCACCTGCTTGAGCATGGTTTCGAATAGCATAGTTCGACAGCGTTTGGTTAAACGTTCACCCGACACACCGAATGCAAAGCCCTACAAGAATGATACATTGAAAGTGAATTATGGAATGAAAAGCACTTTGCATAAAGACGACTCGAACTTACATTCAGTGTGTAAAAGAGCAGGCGCAAAAACGCTAGGACTCCAAATACACCGCACAGAATCGAAGTTCGTGAGAACCGTTTAGCTTCATCCGACTCCAAGAAAATCTGAATGAAGAGACACCTTAATGTAAACCTAATCACAAGGTGTAGAGCGATTTATGGCAAAACGCGTTTGTTTTAGACAGCAGTAAAATGCCTTCATGTTAATCATGTTTTTGTAACTTCTAACAGCACTGGAGACAAGGTTTAGCTGAAAACAGAAGAAAAATTAGATCTTTTGAGGCAAACCGTGCTTACATCGTACATCTCTGTGTAAACGATGACGAAAGATGCCTGCAAAACACCCATCAGAACAGACGTCAAGCAACCAAGGACCATGTACCATTTCTCTGGCTTGTTCATCCGCAATACATCCACGAAGACGTTTCGTTTTTTCTCTACTCCCTGTTGAAAACAACAAAACACCATCATCCATCTGGACAAACCAAATCAAGGAATAGCGGACAAGTAGTGATTTATGCGCACATTCTTCACCTCAACTGCTCTAATCGCCACTCAATATAGTGCGAGTAACTCTACACATATTTTACTACATGGAGCAAAATTAAGATCAAGTTTTTGTCCAAAACAACATGTGTGGGTGAAGCTAGGCATCCTACAAGATACCCAGATAATGTGCTCTGCAAGTTCTGTGGACCAAACCTGAGGGTAACGGATGAAACTGGGTTCTATTAATACAACTATGAGTTCCGCTACGGTTATTTCAATGCTACCAAAACACCTTGGAATCATATTACTTCAAGTGGGAGGTCTCAACATCTGGGCATTACACAGAAAGCAGCTAACACCTTGCAGTCCTTTAAGAAATAATGCGGTCAATTCAGTTACAAAGGTTGCAAATTAGGAGTTAATGCAAGTAATTCATCCCATATATTAGCAGACAGTAGAGTCCAGCAAACACTCCCTAACATCATGGCTTGATGTCTGACGACAAGTGTGAACAATTCGAAACATAAAGAAACTTGCAGACTACAGTCAAGAGAGAATACTTACAAAGTCGATGACAGACTCTGCCAACGAAGAGATGACCGTCTTGGCGTCAACATCACCCTCGAGCTAGATTGTCAAAACAATTTTTTCGGTTTAGCAATCGCCTTGGAAAGCGGTATTGAGCAATCAGTAAAGTGTCTTTACAAATCTAGCAAAAACAGCATTGATAAAAAAACTTAAATTCACTCATACCATACTTGTGTCGCCTTTTCCATGTTCCTAAAATAAGGGAAAAACACACATTCTAGCAACGTTTATTCAACAACTTCTAATTGGCAAATGCGTCTTTGACCAATCCAAATGCATCTCAATGTGTGTGGCATTTCCAGTTGGTTGCAGGTGTCCGGCAGTCGTCCTGCGAATACCATCTTTAACGCTACATGTCCATATTTAGACAAAAACTACTGTTTCCACATGCAGCATCTCACTGGTGAGGAACGAAATACACAATTACAAACCATTTTGGCCACAGATGCGACCGAGGAAAATGCGTGTCATCGGTGTTCGACTCACAGATCTATTAATTTTAACGATCACGTCAACAGCGATCTTACCTTGTGAGCTGTCTCAAGGATTTTGACGACATCATCGTCATCTTCGTCCTCATCCGATTCATCACCCTTCTCTGTCTCCTCTCGAAGCTAAAGTAAATTAAAATTTAGGCACAAAATGTCTCCGAAGATGAGCTGGACATATGTCAAATGTGGTACAAAGGACATGGATTCTGGAAAGTCCGTGAAAATGACGGTGATTGGACAACAAATGTGCTGTCGACACCGTGTCAGCACATTTTGTACAAGGCGAGTATAGTAAGTCAATATAGACTCAGTGGTTCCGCAGTAACACACATGAACGGTTAACCGAAGTGAGCATCAAGGCTTGGGTCAGCGCTGTTGTTTTCAAAGCAATAAGAAGTTAACTAATTCTCTGTATTCAGCACCAATTATTTTACTAGCCTAATTAATGATTCTGGTAAGCAGAGCCACAGCTACTAACACTGTTCCAGGTAGGGGTTTGTAGCACTAGCATGAACTTCCGCATCTAGGTCAAATGCACTACTAGCCCCTCATCATACTAATGTCGCAGGAAGCGTCGGCCAAATACGCCTAGAGTAGGATGCAAGCTTTTTAACCAATCACAAGTTAAGCAGAACCACATCCACACGTTGGCACCAAAGCCTATCCCCTTGTTGGTATTGCGCGTCTCCCTGACGACAATATCCCTTAACTACTGAAGGAGGCAGTGAACAAAACAACAAAGAACACATGTTATTGTACAATACAAAATAGTTTGGTTGGTGCTCAGGTAAGGCTTACCCCTCGTAGCGCCAATTTTGCATAGATGCCTTTCTTTGCCATCAATTCCTCGTGAGTTCCTGTTTCTACTATTGAGCCCCTGTCCACCACGATTATAACATCAGCGTCGCGAATTGTGGAGAGACGGTGGGCCACAATGACCGTCGTTCGGCCTTGTTTGGCGGCATCCAGAGCGCGTTGCACCGACTTCTCCGACTTTGTATCCAATGCTGATGTGGCCTCATCAAGCAACAGGATTCGAGGGTCACGAATCAACGCCCTGGCGATAGCTATGCGCTGCTTCTGTCCACCCGACATGCCGCCACCGCCTTCCGCCACAAACGTCTCATATGCCTAGAAGCACGTGACCATATTCAAATTCACACCTCCACTTACCTCTGGCAATTTCGAAATAAAGTCGTGAGCACGCGCCACCTTGGCTGCCGCCTCAATTTCCTCCTGGGTGGCATTTTGACGACCCAACCTGATGTTTTCAGCGATCGTACCAGCAAACAGAACTGGTTCCTGAGAAACAACACCGATCTGCGAACGCCACCATGACAAATCCAAGTCACGAATATCTACACCATCAATGAACACCTACACGCATTTCTAATGTCAGTCATTAAAACACAGCATACATTGCCCTCATCCGTGTCGTAGAAGCGTTGGATCATTTGAACGACAGTACTTTTACCTGATCCACTTGGTCCGACAATGGCCACATTCTGACCAGGCTTAATTGTCCATGTAAACTTATTCAAAACCTTTTCGATTCAGGGTCACCGCGACAGGCAAACCTACCTTTATATCTTGTCGAGTTGGGTATGTAAATGATACTTCTTCAAATGATATTTCACCACGTACTTTTTCGAGTCTCTGTCCTCCAGCAAATTTGTCGATTGGAGGCACCTAAATCAAATTACTAAAGACAATTTACGAGCAATAACCAAACTAAGAATTGCGATAAAATACCTACCCGGTCAATGACAGGGAATATTTCACTTGCAGCGCCAACAGCAATACCGAAGTAATCGAAGTGATGGAATGCCTGACCAATGGTCGCACCACCAAAAAGCATTGCCATGACCACCTATACTGAGTTAGATTTTTAAACAGTGATACCAAAATTATATCTCCGGGGTTTGACTGTCCGTTTGACAGCATCTTGATTCCATACCAAAATGTAACAGCCATCAATATGTAAATTGACGAGTCCGAGGCTCCGACGACTAGTAATATTAAAGATCAGGAGAGTTACTTACCAAAACCAAACAGCGTAGATCGTTTGAGTCCAAGTTTTTCGGCTGCTGACAATTCGGCGGCATACCGATTCAACTCCCTTCTCTGACCCTCAAAAGCGAAAACGGTTTTAACTGAACTAAGAACCTCTCCAGCAATGGCATTCGCTTTCGAATAAGCCATTCTTTCTTTGACAGTGAACTTGCGTGTTATCATTCCAAGGGCCGCAAAGGCTACAACCACTGGAGGAAAAACTGCAGTTGCAACCAGGGAGAGTTCCCAATTTTTCGTGTAGCCAATCACAATTCCACCCACGAATATAAGGATGTATTGGACAAAGATTCCTGCCTTCTCACCAAGACCAACCTCAATTTTGTCAACTCCTTCGGTAAGACGAGTAATGATTGTACCAACATTTTGCTGGTCAAACCATGCAGGTTCTTGACGAAGAACGCTCTATACAACACAAGTAAGGCCTAATTTTAGGCAAAAATTAGGAAATGGGTTGTTGACATGGATTTAACCATAATAGTGATAAGTAGGATCATCTTTTCGAATTTGTTCGTGGCTTTGTCAGGGCAAATAAATGTTATTGAGAAACAATATATTGCGGTATGTAAAGTAAGAGAATTAAAATAGATTATAAATCTAATATACACTCTTTTATGATTTAGAACTACTCTATGCATCACGCAAGCTTAAGCCGATTGAAAGCACATCGGATTTTAATGAAGACTGTGCTAAAAAAGAAAGTAATGATGCATACCGTAAAGTACAAGTAGCGTATTCGCTTTGCTTGACGTCTTGCACAGAGTTGTAAGCAAAACATTTGAATGTAGGCTACAACAAATGTGGCTCCGCCCAAAATGGCCATGCGTTCGATAACAACTTGGAATTCCTTCAAACCGGGATTTATGAAGTCATTGACGACATCAGAAAAGAATACAAATGAAATCGGGCCGGAAAGACCAACGACTGCACTAGTCAATACCCCAATAGCAAAAAGCAACTTCTCAAATGTAGAGGCATACTTCAGCTAAAAATATTAGCCAATTTCCAGGACAAACCAACTCAAAATATCCTACATGATCTGCCTTGTCATCCCTAAAATAGTGTTTTAAAGGCACTAGTCCTACTTTTGACTAAGAATACTCGCAGAATCAAAGGACCCCTCCAAACCTTTCTCCATTTGAGTCTCGGATAACGGAAACCAAAAATCGCGATGTACAACTTTTATAATTTCTTCAAAATATTTAAACAAACTTCGTGATTACATGCGAACTGCGCTATTATGGATCCCAACATGATTCAGTGCTGATTTTCAGTAAATAAAGACGTATTTTTTATTGTTTTCTTCCAGTTATAGTTGGATAGTGTTTTTTCCTGCGGACTGGTATACAATAAATAATATTGCACATATTCCTAATTGTTGCCTTGTAGTAAGGCAACGCTATGCACTCAAAAGTGATCTACACTTAATTTTTAAATGACCTTGGCAAGTAAAACCTTTAGTTGGATAAAAGAACGCGAGTTTTCTTTTAATGAATTCGATTTGCCTTCATATAAATCAGTGTCCGTGCTAAATATTCTATTTGAAACCTCCGGAATCTATGGATGCATTTTTTAATGAGAGAAAATTATTACAAAAGGATGGCTTAAATTGTAGACTCAGTTAAAATCGTGTTGACTACCGTGGACTATAACAGTTATTGTATAATGCACGCCATTCGACCAGCGCTTGTTAGTATGGCCTGTTCGCTGTCCGCCGGTCTTTCAGGTCATCCTACGTTTCTCTGACATCATCATCTATATCCATAGTAATCTTCTGTGGTATTAGAAGTGAAACCAGCGGAAGTATGTGTTCGGTTTTTGTCAGGCTTAACGGCTATCAATGACTTATCCTCATGTTGTGAATCGCATTGATTCACTCTATTTGATGCAGTCACTTCAGACTTCGACACAGGGTCAACCTTTCCGCAGCCTGGTGCCAGCCGCCTGGATCCTTAAATCCCCCTTATAAGTGCGAACACCTATTTTAGATTATCCTCACACCTAGGCTTCAGTGTTAGCAACTTTATGACTTACAGATCCGAGGTATAAATATACATGCTGAAACGCAATATACGACAAAACGTCGCTAACTTTCTTGAGCTCTGAAGTAAACACTTGTGTCCACGTCCTCTTAATTCTTTTTCCTTTTCGCGGGTAGGAAGGAAGTCTAATCGGACCAGATCCAACTCGGTGACCCCAGCCTAGTGCAAGACGGATTCCTAGGGCTTACAACAATTAATGATCCAGACATAATAAAAGGTTCTCAAAACTCATAATGCTAACTTTTAAAATTTATCTTTTAAAGCTCAAGGTAAAGACGATCACGCACCCCAACAAATTATAGGGCCTTAGCTTGAATTAGATAGTCCTTAAATTGTTAGTGGTAATGACACCGTCGTACATTACATTCATATTAAATGATGCTGTCATTCACCCTTACGCAACGACATACTCTACTGGTCTGCCACAAATGTATAGCCACATGAACTGATGACTATGACGTCTTACTTATCTTGCTGTTAAAGTAGGTAACTGTGTATAGGCTTTACATGAAACACATTCTTTTTAACGCCTTTATTTGCGTGCATTTTGGCGTTCAAAACTCTTCTTACCTCAGAACATGCCATTCTATGAAATCACCAATTACAAAAGCTAACAATAAATGTTTGTATCTTCAACTTACCGCAGCGGTAATTTCTGACATAAATTCATTCACTTTACGAGTTACTTTGAAGATAATATTTGCCTATGAAACCTTAATCTCACGCTATACTAAACACGTAAGCAAAATTCTACACTTTCAAAATCAGGTATCTTTTTTTGCAACGAATTACATTTTGCTGTAAAATTATATTCTGATTCTATGGTGATGAACGCTTACCACACTAGCGTCGGGAAAGTTTTACCCGTCTAATGATAAAAATTGCAAACAGTCCTTAGGTAAAACCCTGGAAGGAGTTCGATATATGTTTCTTAATTTGCAAGGCATTACAAATTATGCCTATCAGATTAGTACATTTGCATGTGCAGTGCGTCGTATTGCCTTCTCATCACTGCAAGTGTTTGTCATCGAACAGTAGGGTAGAAATGTGGCACATCGATGACGCACTAATACTGGATTATTCTTTTTTCAAGGCTAAAATAATGCTTGCTAATTAGGATTGCAAGCCAGACACTGCCTGAATTTTCCTTAACAGAGAACCACAATGCATTTGCATTTTGGACAGTACTTAATCGAGACGTATTTTGATGCAATATATGTGTTATAGACACAGGCAAGTTAAATTGACTTCGCGTAATGCATAAAATATCCAAGATATTTATACTTGACCCATTTAGAAAATAATTCCAACATATTAAAACGAGAAACTTTGCTGCGTCCTCAGTATAAATTACGATCACGCTCGATTACAAGTTAGGTTGTATTACATTTTAGGCAGATTTTTCGAATACAATGATTTTATTGCTTCTTGGTGACGCGTTCTCACAAGGATTTTGATTACTGCGACCAAAATATATTTTTTGTTGCTTTTTGCAAAGAGTCAGATTACAAAGAAAACATTGACTCACTGCAATTAAAAAAAAAGATTTAGTCTATATAAATAACAATTTTTTTTAAAGATTATCTCCAGTTTACAGTTTTGTGGCTAAACTGCTGATTAAAAAATATAATGCAGCGTTAAGTTGCAGTATTATTACTGTTGACTTGAGCATTTTCTTAATGGTTTTTAGATTTTTGTCTACATTTCACTTTATGCTTCCATCCCACGTCACACAATGGGATTTTTGGGTCCATTTTAAAGCACAATTCATGCAGCATGCTTTTGCAACGTACACGTTCCGCACACCATTCGCCTCTACAACCAGCTTCACAAATACACAATCCATTCTTTCATGCATTATTGGCTCCATTAGCTATTTTAAATATACGGGGTACTCAATGTCCTCGCTTTAGTGTCTTCTGACCATCATAATGCCATGAGTGTGTGGCCAAATTCGGTAAGCGACTATTACCAAGATTTGCTTCTAGGCTCCCTCAAATGATAGGTTTCCAAAAAAATTCCGGGTTAAAGCTGCGTTCTAGCAGTGTTTAATCACATAATGACTCTTAACTAAGTAAAAAAACTAAATAGCCAAAGATCCCCTAATGACAAATAGATGCATGTGAGTAATCTATTTTTCAAATGAAGTTTCATTTGACTGATTAGCCCAGAGTTGTGCTTCATTCACCTACATGCACACTCACGCAACTTTTCTGCTTTAAGGAATCAACTTCTGGAACCTACCTGTTTATTATGTATGTCCAAGTGTAAAGCATTTTCGTTTGATTTTTTTTGTTTGGTTGGGTTTTTACTCTTCGACTTCATTCCCCGTCGGAGTTTTCGTGCCCGCAACCAGTATTAATCATTGTAGAATGCACGGAGAACAGAACATCTCGGTTGCTAGCAGCCTGTCAACTCTATCAGTGACATCAAGATCTCCATCTGCAGCAGTTGCAGTGAATCTAAAACGTTACTTTCTTCTCCATCCTGGACGAAATCGTTTCGGGTGCAAGGGTCACTGTGTAATGAGTAGACAGCTGGGCTTATTCTATTTCACTCTTTTCCTCCTGTTTGGTTTAAGTGGATTGTTCTTTGCCTTTGATGCCCGCTATCTTACAGTCACTTTGAGCCCTGCGGTTCCCGTTGTTGGTGGTGCCCTTTTTATTTTTGTCACATCTGTGCTTTTCCGAACAACATTCTCGGATCCCGGCATTTTACCACGCGCAACATGTACCGAACTGAAGTGGTTTGATGGTACGTTGACCCATATTTTTTGCTGCAGAAAATTCCGGTAAAGTTTGCTAAACTTTGTTTAGCTATATTCTTATATTTGACCGATACTTGTTTTTTTAGTGTTTTTTTTTTCTAGGAGATTTTTAAATTTCTTGTGGCCTGGACGTCCGCTATGCAACAGTCTTTATTTTTTAGACGAAGTATTGAGCTCTGGCGACTCTTCAGTCCGACAGACCATCCGCACAGCCACACAAAGTCGGGAAATCAAAATCCATGACTTTCCTTTTACTCAAGTTTACTGCCACACGTGCCACATATTTCGGCCGCCGAGAGCTTCTCATTGCTCCATCTGTGACAACTGCATAGGTTAGTTTCCTCATCATTGATCAATTTTTCTTTGGGTTTATTTAGCGATTTCATGACTGGAGTGTCATGACAGTTTCTTGATTCTGCATTGTTATTTTTAGTAGAAAAGGTCATCAAAAGGTTCTGGATTCTACTGTGTGGTTTTAGGTGGTGCTTCACTGTGCTGTATTTCCGTAGTCGGTTCATTGGTAACGTTTTTATCAAAATTTTTATGACACCTATGAAGCAGAGCACTCATCCTACGTCTTTAATATAACATTTGCATTTATTCGTTAAATTGTGTATTAAACTGTTCACTTGCAATATCAAAATAGACTTTAGAGGTAATTGCCAAACCCAGTACTGTTACTTGTAATTTTTTTTCGAACTACGTGTTGTTGACTGTAAACTAATTTAAACGTTCATGTTGTTGTTATTGCTGACGGCATGTTAGCCAATCGAATATACTTACTCCTTTAAACAAATTTTTTATGGTCATGCTTTCATGCCATAAATAATCGAAATTGCTCGCCAAAATTCGTTCAGCTCAATTTGCGGCGAACGCCCTCTAGTTCAAATTCTATGCGAATGTTGAGTGCCCATTGGTTATTAAAAATGTCCTGAATAGACGAATTCGTTGCATGTCACCGTTGAATCCCAATTCCAAATGACAACTTGACTAATAACCACTACGATTATTCAACTGTGGGCCCCTTTTACGATACTCCAATAGGTTATAGGAAAAACTGAGTAACGTCGGACAACTACAAGCCACCTTTTTGTACTTATCATTATAATGACACTTCTCTAATATGTTGAGTGTGAATTTTCATCATGGCCTACTTTTTCTCTCCTAAATTAAGCCTTCGTGTCAGGAGTCAAGATTTCACTGTCCACTGCTTTGTTGTTATAGTGGACTATTAGGTAACCTGGTGTACGATAATCCTCCACAAATCTGAGATGGCTACTGCGGGTGCTGCTTTCCGCCTTCTACAAGCTCCTCTTTGTACTGGGTGGCTTTGTTTTACCTCTCTATTGAACTTATACTTTGTGTCTTTTATTAAAAGCGTCTTTTTTCGCTGATACGAGTCAAAATTCATCCCTTTTAAGTACCACTACGCCCGCTTGGCTCGATTTTTAGCTCCTTGTGTTGATGTGATTTTCTCCCAAGGTCGAGTCCAGGCTCATTTTAATTGGTTGGAGACTTTATGATGCGAGCTGTCTTGTAGCATCAACCTCTTCTTTGTCTACGCGCCCCCATTCAATCACGACTCTTTTTTCTCGGGCATTTGTGGTGTTGTGTATGCTAACACAAATATTGAGTGTTTCAAACACTCATTTTAGCTTATGCTGCTGTGATTTTGAGATAATCCACGCGTTCTTTTTATTGTCCTAGTTGTGAGCCAAAAGGTCACAGAACGACTTCATCTGGCTGGTCACTTTGAAGCAAAAAAATCTCACTGGAAAGAATGTGGCATCAAACAAAAGACATGTCGGCGTGTTGTTAGTTGCATGTATTTCTTGTGTACCTCAGTTTAAGGTTAAAATAGGCGTTTTGGGCTGTTAAATGTTCATTTTGAGGTGTCCCATAGCAAGTCTTGTTGCTCATTTAAGCACTTAATGTCGCTAGTTGTCAGTGATGTGACAGTGGTCATGTGCGAGTGAACTGTTTGATCTGCGCACTCCCTTTTAATTGCCTTAGTGCTGATGTCTGAAATTGAGAACTTGATTTGTGAAAGCACTGATAACCCATTGGGGTCAGTTGCTGTGCCATTCTGCTCTCAATTTCTGAGTCCTGCTAAAAAGAGGTTTTCTAATTTCATTCCACCATGAATTGTGGGGAAGAGAAACAGCCTTGTTGCCTTTATCGTCATAGGTGTCAAGTGGACATCCAAGTCACATCTTCGCTGGTACATGGTCTACTAATTTGATCTATGGGCCGCCTTTGCTTAACAACTATTTCCAAAAACAATTACAGGTACTAAAAAGGGGTATAATAACGACAGATTCTGAGGTAACTGCCGCATTCTCAAACTGCATGCTGTTAAGGGTTTTCGGGTTTAGCAACCTTTGGCTGTTCACATCGATCCGATTTCAGCTGCTATCTAAACCACTTGAATCAGACGCCTTTTTGCAACCACTTAGCCGTTACTCGACAAGACCGAAAAATACCAGATACTCGCGAAATGTCCCAAGGTGATTGTCAAGCATGTATTTTCAGCTTGTACCTGATTTCTGCCCTAGCCCGTAAATTTAGTAGACCGTTGCCATGTCAAATTTCACAAAATGAATTTAACTTGTCATTGCTGAACTAGTTTTGGAAAGTACTTAATCAAAACAAGTGCGCGAACCGCATTAAGTGCGAAATTCTTGGGGAATTATTGTTTAAATGCATGACGCCCTTGAGATTGAAGCTATTTGAAAGCAAAACGAATCAATGTTATTATTTGTCTGCGGAACTTGCTATTTGCTCTAGATTCCATGAGCTCATACGTGTAGTGGTCGAAAAACAGTGGTCTTATGCTTTTTTTCGTTAATCGGATGGCTGCATTTATTTGGAGTTTCTTCAAAAATTCGCCCATCGACACTTGCTAGTTTCCTGCTAAATATGTGCCTTTTCGATAACGAACGCTTTTGGTGAATACATCAAACTCTAAATATTTCACCAGAGATTTCTACGAATGTAGTGATTTTGATGCAACATCCACCATGTCATTCCAACCTACCCATTAGTTTTACTGTTCCGGCTCTCGTTGTAACACTGTTTGGAGTTTGTTCATGCGGCCTGTACAGCCACTTCAGGTAGCTTTGCAAATACAAGTTGTTTACTAGTCTGTGTGGAGGAATGAAGATTGGTAAATAATTGTTGTTTAAATGAAGTGAGCTTGTTGTATTCAAGGTTCCTTGTTGATAGCTTGGACCGCTTTTTAGTACGCCCGTTGACCAATGCCTTACCGGAATTCATGTTGCGCAAACTTGCTTGCTTCTAAGTACAGTGACTTCTATTTAATTGGACTTTTGTTAACCTGAGAAGCATGTGGACATAAGTACTTCTACTAGTACTTCACTGTCAACTTCCAATGCAGTTTTAGCTTAAGCCCTAACGTTAGAAAGGGGAGGCATATTTGTGCGTTGGCCTGTGTTCTGTAATTTGCATTCTTGAAATGTGTGGGCTTGTTGCTGCAAGTTAGTCCCTAACGTACCCAGGAAAGAATAAACAGACATTTGTCGTGGGTGTGTTCTAGTTTATTTTTACTTCAAGGGTCAGTAGAAGCCCGAGTGTGTAAATTGTAGTGCTAGCGAATGTTTGGTTATTTTTGGAGACTGATATCTTTAGTTTCCGCATGTAGTACCGTTGTAACGATTCAGCCCCCCTAATTAACACACCATCTGTTCAAATTGTTTCGCTTAAGTGTTCTTTTCTACGGTGTCTTTGAACATTGCCTTTGGGCGAAGCTTGTGCTACTCCAGAATGTTAAAGGTATAATTAGCACTTAACAGCAGTACGTCTTTTCTGCTTTTATCCTTATCGTCCAGGGCTTCCTTTCTTCAAGTTCTTTTTCTAATCACCAGTTCAATCCACGGTAAATATTGAAGATGATACTTTAAGCAAGCGAACTTGTGGGGAAGATGTAGTCAATTGTTTGAAAGCGCAAGCTCTTGTTTACCTTGAATCCAGCTTCACTGCGTTCGCGAAATTGCACGTTTTTTCACAAGGTTGTGTGTACTAATTTCACGTTTATTCCTTCGAGCGCGTCCATCAGGATGTGTATTGTTTTACTGCTTAATGAATTGGCGTTTACATCCAAGTCTGCATTGCTAAAAAGTGCATTCATTTTGAGCTTGACTCCCTCTTTACACTCCACCGCGAATCCATCGCGCACCTTCTCTTGCTATCATCCCCTTTTAGAATATTTGAGACAGTCCTTTGTCTTTTGCGATTGCGCGTTGGAGCTTCCGCTAGACAAGGGGCTGTATTCACCTACCAAGTCGTACGTGTCTGGGTTAACGATCAGGATCTAGCATACAACGCTTCTACACATGTGGAAGGCACTGGTCAGGTTTCCATCTTACGAATTCGTCATTAAACTTATTGTTTTTGGCCCATTTAAGGAAATCCCTTTAGTTATTTTAAAGCTAATGAATATAACCACGTGTCTTTGAGCTTTCAATTTCTATCCCATTTGCGTAAAATCTCGATCAAGAAGACACGTTCCGCAGTTCCGGTTGTCCTTAGAGTTTTTGACTGGGCCGTAGCTACCTCCGTCACGCGTTTTCGCGCGGTCATTTCACCAAGTTCCCATACCTTGGCTAAATAATCACTTCTGCCTGTTTAATCCTGGGCGTATGACGTAGTATGGCTCGGGTGTTCTCAACAGTGCACTGGAACATGCTGTTTACCATCGGCTAATGCACCTTTTCACGTCAGCATCGTGCGTTTACTTTACCTCTGCTGTTCTGAACTCGGACAGTTGCTAAATTCGGTTTGTGCGCTCAGCAGCACAAACCATCCATGCGGATTTGGCGTGTTCCGATCCCCTTGCTGTTCTGTGCTTGCATTTTGAGCGCTTTTTCACGCAGTGATGTTTGCTCTGCGTGAGTTGTGGCAGCTCAGTTCCATGCCTGAGTCCTCTTCGCTCAGCGCTGTGCTATTTTGATTGGTCGCATTAACCATCCGATTTTGGCACATTTACACTCGTTTTTTGTCAACATTATGTCGGGTAGTTTATTTAAACCACCAGTCCACTCTTTTTAAGGCGCAAACATCTTGTTTTTTTGTGAATGTATTGAGGCGCAGACGTGCTTCCGTCTGACCTTTGGTCAGCGCTAAGGGCAATGATTTTATGCTGGCTCCGTGGACGCGTGTCTGCTCTTGTGCATTTATTTGTTCATTTTTTAAACCCCGATGATCCTATCCACGCGCCAGGCGACAGATGTTGCTCTGCCAGCCAATCAGCTTGATTAATGTTGCTAATTAACTTGTTCCCCTTGTATGCGCGATTGTAACTACTGTTGTCGGTGGTTGATCGACTGAAGTTAGCTTGCTTATGCCGTCAAAAATCGTCACCATTTATCGCTGGGGTTACACCGCTTATGGTGGTGGCGTTGGGGTTGGGTTTTACCAATTTTGGCAAAAACGCACGTGATTCCACTGCGAAGTCCAAGGGTTTCGATTTGGGGAATATGAATTTTCAGTAGAGCACTGTGCGCCTACAGCTGACGATTGTTAAATCATCAAATTGGCGAAAGGTCAAATTTGTATGTCTGAATTGGTGTAAGATATAATTTCTTGGTAATCGGAACGTTCTGGCCACCATCACTATCGAACACACAGTCCTCTTCGTCAAATCAACCTCTCTTCCCCGTGATACCTGTCCTGTGGGCGTTCCCTTCCTCCTCCAACTTTAATTTTGGGCGTTTACTCCGTCACCTCAGTAATCTTATTCTAATGCAGAGGTATTAGCATGCATAAATTAGTTTAAAAAAGTGGGAATATGGCATATTTAAGCCGATGTGGGGGTGCTTTTTGACCATTGACCGGGCTACTTGCTATCAAATAAGTAGGCATGTAGTCTCAGTAGGTAAATCGTGTGTCAAAAAATTGGCCATAGATTGCACTGGAATTTTATAATTTCTTCGTTCATGTTCCAACCTGTTTACTAATGTGAGCGTGTGCAAAATTATTTGCTTCACGCAAACTTCTAAATCACATTGATAGGCGACACTTGTGGGATTAAATAATGCAGCATCTCATACAGCTTAGAGGTAAATTAGTAGAGCACGTCCATGTCCAGCTAAATATTCTTCTGCACCCGCACAACAGACAGTTACCACCTTCCAAATGTACGCTCGCATTTCAAATTGTGCTGCTTCTGCCGTTTTCTAACCTCCCGTATGCCCCAGGTTCGATAGAAGTTACAAATTTTCGACTTTTGTGTGAAATCGAGTTGAAGATCACTTGCCAGAAACCACCAAATTGCAAGTGGAGAGCCACACTCTTCGTTTGCTTATAAAGACGCACGAAATTCTGGCGTTTCGACTTGACCTTAGAAGCACCGGCGTTGGTTGACCCCAGGCTCAAATTTACTTCCTCATAAACATCCTAACACGGCCAATTTTACTAACACCAAAACGGGAGGAACTGTCGTCTAGAGCGAAATTTTCCAATCACATATTTAAGCATTTCTCGTGTGTTGAGTAGCAGACAAATTGGGTCGTTCTGGGTCTTGTGAATTTGCAAGAAACACGTCGTTTATTAGAACGTCAAATTTTAATCAAAGCGCCCTTTAAAATCTATTTTTCATAGATTTTCTAGTAGGCAGAGTTCTTTTAAAAGCGTTTAGTTCATGAATGTAACCTCCATGCTTGCAAGGTAAGGTGTTGAGTTGAGCGATTCATTGACCAAGATTTTTGCAACTTTAAATTAGTTCGATTTGCAAATTATTTGCCGGGATAATTGTCGTCTGCAAGTAGCCACCAGACGATCCATCAATGCTCCCAGATTCCAATGGCTGATTAAAAGTGTACTTGTGACGCTCCTCAAATTTCTCCGTCAACTTGGTTGTAGATCGCTTTGACCACCATTGTCCTTGGATAGGCAATTGCGTGGGAGCCCGCAACTATCGCTACTTCGTCATCTTCCTCGTGTCCGTTTCACTGCTCTGCCTCTACGTGCTGTCCTTCGCCGTGGTCAATGTTGTCATTTGTGCGTCCACCGTTTTGCCTCCTTGTAACAAACATCTCTACTGATACGCGTTCAGCATAACGTATTTTCTACTTTTAGTTTACCGTAATTCCACTGACATAATGGACACAGTGGCGAAAACCCCTGCTTCATATCCTTTTTGATCCGTCGCTGATTATTGGCCCTTTCAGCCAAGCCTGGTCAACACTAAAACACTGCACACTTTTCCTTGACCACAGGAATTTTCACATTTATAGAGATACTCGTGACTTTCTTCCTCTCAATATCGATATCCGGACTCGCCCTGTTCCACATTTACCTCAGTTGCCGGAATATTTCTACACATGAAGATGTGAGTTTCCATCTCGTCGGCCATCTTTTATAGCCACCGAGCTGTGTCATTGGGGGTTGCCTTTTCTAGATCCGAGGTCTCACCAAAACCCTACGGCAACAGGGTGTCAAGAACCCCTTCTCCAAGGGCAACGGTTTCGTCAACCTCGCCTACATTTTGTGTGGACCCGCGCCCCCAAGGTTCGTGTCTCTGTGGCCTTTCATGAACGCTTTCACCACAAACTGGGGATATGGTAGTTGGACAATGGCCACCCGATAACAGCTTCAATCCCCAGGTCGTTGTGAAATCGGTGATTACCACATTCCCTTGTGAAGGTGACATGTGTTTGCTACAAAATTTAGCTGTGGCCTCCGTAAACCCTTAATGTCGCATTCCAACTGCATTGCCGCCCTGTTTGCATTGAAAACAGTTGTTGTGGGCCCCAGCATGTGGTCTTGAACCACGCCGGGGCCACGGAATTAACTCTGGCCCGATTACGCTTGCCTGATACCCGCGATGA